CTGTACTACAAAGGTTTATTTAATGGGATGCTCATTGACTGTGTTGCTTTAAAGAAATACTGTCTCTTACTTCAGGGGTGTGTAAGCAGTGAAGAAGTGATGTATTTATAACAATTACATCAAGAGGGAATAATTGCAAAGGCTTAAGACACGTGGAGCACATACACAGAATTTCACTGATGTACCTTTATTCTCAATAAATAAGCACTGATCTTATAAGATTGTGATCAAGATATAAAAGCTATCCTCCTATCATCTGTATTTGAAGAATAAATAATGTCTAACCATTCTCTTTGATAGATTGACTTTCTCAATTAATTAAAACTCAGGAAAGATTTTGGCACTTCAGCTAACTGATAAATGAACTATTGATATAGGATGTAGGTGTAATCTGCCTCTGGTAAGTGCTCAACTGCTTAAAAATCAATTGCAGAAAAGTTACTAAGGACTTGTTGTTAGCTAAAAGGACATTAATTACAGTTATGTTCTGAATCCAGTTTCATCCAATATTTTAATTGCTCAAATATTAAAATAAAAATTAATACAGTCTTCAGGTGAAAGACAAAATAGATTAAAAAATGATTTAAAAATAAAAGTCTGATCTCCCATTGATTTTGAACCATTTGGAAGGAAAAAGGAAAAAAAAAAAAAACAAAAGGAGAAATCTAGACTTTGAAACACAAGTCTCACACACAAGCAAATTACCCATGGGTACTGTTTTACTAATCACAGAGGTGTATATCCCACAACAAATACAAGGTAATTTGTATTAACATACTTCTCTTGCTACAATGATAAGCTATTCCAATTTCTAGTGTCTGTGGCTAAGAATTGAAATTTTGGTCAGCTGATGTGTAATGTCTTTTGGGAATATGTTTAGCCTGAGATAGAAACACTGAAAATTATTATGACAGATATCTCTCAATCTCATTCACTAAGCAGTTTTGAGAATTATCCAGACATCTTCCAGCAATTTTCTAGGTTTGCTTAATTCTTACTAGGCAAATGGTTAATTTTTAAAAAATTATTTCATTTTAATATTTAAACCAGTTTTATTTTAGCTCTTTGTCTGCTATATTAGAATCATATATCTTCTCAGTACAGTTTATATAATGAGCGTTTCTCATGTCACTTGTTTGACCAGATGCATCCAAATGATGAGCACTTGTACTGTTCAGCAGAACCCCTCTGACTCACCCTGAGGAATGCACCCTTATGTAATTTACAGAGTGCACCAGGAAGACCAGGAACAAGTGTCACCCCTGCCACCCATGTTCTGAATTTATCAGACAATTTAGTGTGCAGTTGAACTAATCTGCCTTGTGTTCCTCGGTGACATGTGTGCACAAATGCTGTCTTGATACCAGTGCTATTTGAGAGATGCAGTCCTCAGCCTTCCCAGCAAGCTGATGCCAGGTCTCCTAAGCAACCTGCTATGACTTGTTTACTCTTCCTTTGCCTTCCATTAGCCTTCATGACCTGCTGTCCAAGGTCACTGTGAGTGGTGTACCTCTGAAGTGGCACCTCCTGGTGCACAGATAACATGCATTTGCGTCTCCTGAGTAATCTCAGGTCAATTTAGAATTGTTCTGCTTACTGACAGTATCATTGCCTAAAGAAATGCACTGCAGCAATACTGCATGTGAGAAAATAAGGAAAGGAGATTGGCAAAACAAATTAGTATCTTACTATAGTTTCTTTTGAGACCACGATAGCAGTCTTCTTCTGGTGTGTGCCTTTTTCCATCTCTATATCCCAAGTCACACTACATGCTAGTTCAGTTATTTCATGCTGTGAACATTTTACAAGAACTTATCCACAGGTGTCAAATTCACAGCCGTCATTATTTTTATGAGGCATCTTCTCTTCTGATAAGTCAGCATCTGTCCTGCAGGCTCACCTTACTCCCTGCCTGACTATCTGCTTTGAAGGATTGCAAAGAGTCACTCCATTGTCCTCTTCAGTAACACTGGGTATCTAACTGCACTTGCCATTAACTGCAGGAAAAGGAGCAAGAGCTCACCTTACTGAGCAGGATCCCAGACACTGGAAACAGCTGGAAAGGGAAGAAGTGGTAGAAAAATATATGGTATTGTTGCTGTCAAGCTAAGATACTTCCACATAGAAGCTCAAAAAAGGAAAACTAATTCTCCCTCAAAATTCGTGCAGTTTTAAGACTATCCTCTCTTCCAATTTAGGGTGCAATTCTGCACATATGCATATGTGTATATGTACACAAAAGAGATATTTGTCCTGTGGAAGTGGAGTGCACACTGTCCTGGCGAAAGTCACTGTCTACATCTGGATGAGGTGTGCACTGTTAGGAATTTTTTCTAAAGGAGGAAAAAGGAAACCTAGAATTAGATGCTTTTTTTTTTTTTGCTTTAGGAGTTCAGAGCATTCTGACAAAGCTGTTTACTACACAGTAAAAAATCTCTGCCGCAATTATGACAGTAAATTTATTCCTCTGCTCATCTGCTTTCTCATTCCATACAGACAGTGATGATAGAACTTATTTTTCAATAGTAAACAATTTTTATACTTACCTTTTCTTATTTATTTATTTATATTTTTCAGCTTTAGAGTGTTCTTATTTGTGGATGTTTTTTTTAATCCATATATCTGAAATCTTTGCAAGAAGCAATCCTTTAATAAGCATATATGTTTCTACTTTTTAAGATACAGCTAGATAGCAAAGTAAACAATCAATCTGCGGATCATCTGTTTTCTCAGTTCAGCATATTTTCCCAGGAATCAGCATGATTCCTGCCATAACAGTACTTAATGAACCAGTACTTCAAAGCCCTACTATTTGTTGTTATTTTGGCCACTGGTAAGTAGGCTATTGCAACTAATACTTAACTGTGGCCAAATCTATCAGAAGGAAATGACAGTCCATATAGTTTTATGTAGTCAGCAATGAATTTCACAGAAGCTTAAAGGTTGTTTTTTTTTCTGAGAAAAATCAATTACAGCTGAGCAATCCTATATTTTTGCTGTTGCTGTTGTTAGATCTATGCTGAATGATTGCCACAAGTTAAGAATGCACAGGGCAACCAGAAACTGTTTTATGTAGCATAAATGCAGTTTTGTTTTAAAAGAGATTCTAATTTTATAGCTAGCTCATATAAACAAATGTAGATAGTAATAAGTCATTTATGCTACTGCTTGTCCTCATCAAACTCATTACTGCAGAGTCTTTCATCCCTCTCCCTAATCAGAAATATGAAAAATTCTCCCAAAAGGCCCTCTTCATATCTATTCCCTTTCCAACCCCCACAACTAAAATTTTTCTGTGGAAAAGTAATGAGAACAAACTCACAGAACATGAAGTAAACAAGCTTTGGAAAACAAGCTCCAGCTTTCAGTTGCCATTTTATTCAAAGCAGTAATTTCTCATGGTCAAAGCATAATTTAAGTGCATGGAGTTCCCTGTGAAAAAACAATAGATAATAGGGGAGAGTAGAATGGGAAGAAAAAATAAACTTTACAGAATATTTTTATAGAAATGCCTTTTAATTTAAACAGAAAACAACCAATGAGTTATCTTAAAATTTTCACCTTCCTTAGCTTCAAGACTGGGTCTCCACAAATAGCTTTACTGCAAAAGGGTATCTCATATTTTTGGGAGAAGGGAGGTCAGGGACTGCTGCCTAAGGGAAAGGGAACAGGGACTGCTGCCTAAGGGAAAGGGAACTGTGAACAGAGGTTGACCACAACACGGATGCTGATGGAGTACAGCCCTAAAGGATCTGAGCACAACAGAGACCAGGGTTTGTGACTGGGTCTGTTGCTAACCCCAACACATCAAATAAGAAACCATAGCCAGGGTGCTTCAGGGCGATCAAGACTATGAAGAGATAAAGCCAGAGAAAGACCTGGAGACAAAGCTACAATAGAGACAGGAGTGGAATTTTACTTTTAAAATAATTCAACTTCCTCTTTAATTATTTTAAAATACGAACTATATTCCTGCATGCCTGCAAAATCGGCAATAACTCAGAAAACTTGAATCAATCCAATATGACCACCAGTCTCTGTAGACATTAGAAGGAAGAGCACTGCCTTCCAGTTTTTATTCCCCCATGGATATAGTTTTAAGGTGCTTGTGGGTCCTTCAAATTAGATCTACTTCGAGACATTAGAAATATGCAATCAGATCTACAGGCATATAAAGAAGGCTAAGTATATCTATGAAAAATTCTGAGCAGGACTAAGAAACAAAGAAAGCAATATTTTATATAGTGGGAAGAGATATACTTTGCTGATATCAAAACCTAGTAGGCAGGGCATATTGAAAATACAGCAGTCATGTGCCCAATATGGTGCTTTTATAAGTTTTCTTTCATTGAAATGCTATCTGATCTGGTTTTAATTTGTGAGATGTTAATATTGAACTATTAAAAGCCCATAATAGATAGCAGACATAGTAACAATATGTTTATTAAAAGTGAAATTCTTGATCAAATATTTGAATTAGTAGTTTTAAAAAACCAAACAGAATGTTGGAGAATATGTAGATGTCTAAGGAAAAGTTTGTTTCTTCTAATAGTTCAAAAGGTCAGCTACATGTTACAGACAAGCTAGTTCCATTTTAATCCTAAGGAAATATTAGAGAAGTTGATATCGTATGCACTATGAATTAAGCAATTCAAAATAAAAAAGCTTCTTGAAAGATAAGTTTTATCACTCAATTAATTATCTTTCTTCAAAGGAAGAAATGGATACAATCTTTGACACCTGTAATGTTTTATGTTAGTCTTTAATAACATTCTAATTTAAAAGGAAATAGTTAGATATGATAAATTAAGATAAATTAGATAAATTTACTATGACTTGAATTGAGTTAATTAATTTTCTCTGCTCTAGACTTTATGCTGTCAACATGCATAAATATATAACTATTTTAAAGATAATATATAAATGTATGGATACAATCTGCAGATGATTCTGAAATTATAGAATCTTATACAATAATAACAAAATAATAGGGCCAGCATCTGCGCTTGGATAATGCAAAGGGAATCTTTTGAATACAAGCTATTTCAAGATACCCATGTATATCTTCCAAGAATATAATATATATTCTTATGATAAGAAATAGCATCCTGGAAGGTAAAAATAATTTAAACAGAGGATCAACAAATTCTGAATGCAGAAAGAAGAAAAGATTAAGTAAGATAATATATCGCAATGATAATGCCATCACAAGAGCTACACATCCTCTGCTGGTATGTGTTTTGAGGAGAACATGGGTCTGAAAAGACTTTAGAGACAAAAGAATGATCTGATAATTATGCATTAGGCAAAATTAATAAGCAGGGTAATTTATTTTCTTGATCGGAAGAGAAGATTTACAAAGAATTTGATCATGGCCCAAGTATTTGTACACAGGAAAGCATGTTCTTGTGTACTCTAGTCTTCAAAAAGCAAAAGCATCACCATGTGATTTCTGACTTTCTGGATTTCAGAACCAGTATTTGAGTTGATCTGAACAAGAGTACTTCATAAAGGCGTAAAATCAGACATACATTGAGATCATTTAGAAGGAGATACAGCTCTTCTAAGCCATGTCGTTCAACATTTTTGCCAAAGCATAATTGTCTGGAATATCCACTTATGTATTAAAACAGAACTTTAAATTAGTTGCATTCTGCCAGTGGTTAATTCTAAATAGTAAGCAAGTATTGTGAAGTGGTTTTAAAGAAAGGCAATTGTGAGGTGATTCAGTTGAGCTGAAAAGTGAATACTAAAGACATATCTATGGAAAGGCAGATAGGTTTGAAGAAAAATAATTGGAAAAAAAGTGATTATGATTAGAAGGATTAAAATATATTTAAATATGTGCAATATTTTAAACAATAATTGTGTCTTTCCAACATTTGTAAAAGAAGTTGGATTAATTATTTCTGCCAAAGATGTGTTTGCTATTGACCAGATGGTACAGAACAGCTTAAAGAGCTTTCAGAGATTAATTGTGAATGCCAGTTTAAATCCTTTAGAATATATATCTTATCAATATACATAAAATGTATGTGCTAAAGAAAAATCATTTAAAAACACATTAAAAGCTTGGGGGGAATAACTCAGTCAACTGATGGCTGTCTTTATTTCTACAAAGCTTAAAAGTAATGTGGGGAGGCTGGGGAAACAGAACCAGCACACTGTTTCTGGTCCTTGGTCTTGAAATGAAGCATCTCAAAATGACATGTTATTGTAATTAATTAATTTTCCTCAGCCAACATTAAACTTGGCATTGTATGCATTAAAATCTCAAGACAAATTTTAAAGGCAGAGTTGTGAAAATGCAGTGTAGTAACAATTTCATATTTAAGAAGCAGAATTTATGATGACTCAATTTCAAGTGACTATGGTTTGGAAATGTGTAGTGAGCAAAAGTGATGTGAAGTACACTGAAATAGGATTTTGGTATTTTGTCCATGTGTAAAGTGGGAGAACTATGAATGGACAGCAATATAATATCATTCTATAGGAGAGATGCTGTTGCATTTTTGTTCAGATGTGATATCACTGACGTGTAATATAGTGTATTTCAAGTTTAAGAACATAACAAGTTCGTAACTTAAATTCCTTCTACATGATCTTCCCTAGAGCCATAGATGACATGTTTCAGTTACATGATGTAACATAGTCAATGTCAGTGGTTTTTGCTGTCTAAAGAGATGGCTTCCATTTCAGAATAGTATTTAATCACATAAGCAAGAAGCTTTCCTGGGCTGGACAGCCACAGATATCCCAGGTCTGAGGAGATTCTTCTTACCCTGAGGCATTACATACTGTTACTCTTAACAGTTGGACTCAGTGATATTAAAGGTCTTTTCCAACCCAGGTGATTCTGTGATTAGTAAGTCCAGAATGGCTTTGTGTCTCTTCATCTCTGTTTTATATTTTTGCTAGTCTGGAATTGTGAGGAAGTCTTTCTTATGTTCTGTGAATGTCTTTTCCAATCCTACAGCATAAGGAAATTCAATCTCATTTCTTTCATTAGTATTCCCTACTGGCTCAATTAAGTGTTCCAGCCTCTGGTTATCCTAACTATTATGAAAGAAACAAATTTTTCTGTCTTCTACAACTCTACCTGTACGTGCACTTATTAGTTTCATTTCTAGAAGTAGTAGGCATACTGTTAGGCATGTCATTGTATCTATGAGTGGAATGGAGTCTAATTTAGGCTTGTATCCTTTGGATTTTGTTCACTCTGCAGCAGATTTTACCTGGCATTATTTTCTTACCAGCTTAGCCCTCTTTGGTCAATCAAGGATGAACTGATGCAAGATTATGGTATCTGCTATCATGCCAGCCTTATTGCACACATTTGCAAAATTTATATAAGAGGCAGGTTGCTGCTGAGACCGCATTTCCAGGAGTAAAGAGAAAGGGTAGATTTATGTTTGTTTCAGCCATTGACAGGGCATGGCAACAAACAGCTGTAAAGTTCATTAGGGGTCATTTCATATAACACATTTCATCTGTGAATTAGAGTCCTTCTAGGCAGCATAATAGAGCTTGATGGGAAAGCTGTATTGACTCTGGTTTTGTGTCTTATGTTTAAAGGGTTTACAACTCTAGAGCATAATAATTTTGAGTTAGTAATTTATCAATGAGAGCTGGAATTGAATTAAGGTGCAAAGTTCATTTTAAAACATACTATAAATATGCTGTTCTGTTTCTTTTGGTTCTGAGAGTGGAAGAGTTGATGGTTAGGTATGTATGGATAAGTACTATACCTTGATTAATATGTGTGTGTTATCAAAACATCATTAGGACAATAAGAACCTTTTAATGATACGTGGGTTTGGGGGTTATTTTTAATTGGGAACGATAAGGATTAGATTTCAGTTGAGTTTTTTTAATTACCTTTTCTTTTCCTTAACAACGGTAGCTTATATTTCCAATTAAATTTTTATTATAAAAGCTACCAGCATTTAAATGCATATCCATTTTATCTGAGATAGAGATGTTTGGTGTATAATTGTTTTTTCATGCCAAAACCTTTAAATAGATTAAGTAACTGTATCATCCTTTTAAAATCAAGTAAAACTTTTCTCCAAGGATACAAAGTAAATTAATTTTTAAAGTAAAATTTACTTCATAGTTTAAAAAGTATAAAATTTTGCATAGTATAAAACTTTACATATCCCAGTAAATATGTATCTATCCTACTAGACTTGCAGCTCTGACACATAGAAATGTTTCTTGTGTGTTGATATTATAGTTATGCAAAAATCTATTCTTAATCTGCCCATTTTAAATTATTCCACAAATCTAGATGTAAAATACACCTGTGCCATTGAGTAAGCACTTGCAATGAAAAGTGCATATTGAACTGAAAAGGAAAACCTTACTAGGTGGATTAATGTTGCAAGCTGTGAGAAGTTAGGAGTCCTTCCTTTCCCTGTGCTAATAACTAGCATTCTCTTTTCCCCTTTACTTCTTGGAGAAACTGTCTGGGTGAAGAATCACAGTGTGCTTGTAAAGAAGTATGAACATTCAAGTACATGGCTATTTTTGCCTAAATTCATTAATCTAAGTCTTTTAATGTGATTTAAATACTTTGATTTTTAAATGTTATTTTCCATACATTGTTTATATTGTTGTTCTTTGACTTGGCTCCTTGGCCTGATGTATTTAAGCTGGTTGCTTGTGGGCTTTGAAGCTAGTTTGTCTGTAGCTCAGAATAATCTGCTGGTGTGTTTGAACACAGGCTTTCAAGAATACACGACATGACAATTGAGACAAATCCTTTTCCTTTCAGTAAAAGGTCCTCTATGAACTTCCAAAATATAAACATCCCCCTGTCAAAATACTAAACTTTGTTGCTTCTCACCTCTAGCTGTGATGGAACACAGCTAGAAGAAATCTACTCAATGATCTTGTGTCTTTTCCAACCTAAGTAATTTTATGACTCCATGTTTCAACTAGACAAGACACAGTTTCTGATACATTTGTTTGCTAATATGGGTGCAGCTATTGAAATTTATTACATTTGGTTGCCCAAATTACATTTTTTACAAAAAATATAGCATTTTTCTAAACTACAAACATGATCTGGTTAATTCTAGCATTTATTCCTTCATTTTTTCTTGGCCAGGTAGTGGATTTTTTTGAAATACTACTTCATGTATTGATGACACAGCTTGTCCAATACTAAAATGCAGTTTATAATGATAACATTTTTTTAAAGAACAATGATGTTGAATGTGCAGACTTTATCTAAATAATATTTGAATTTAGTAGAAATATTAGGTTGGTAAGGGTAAATTAGCATGAAGGGTCATATAAAGTCATAATGTGCTGCATTAGTGTTAATCTTTTAATCCGTTTTAGTTTTGAATGTAAGAAAACTAGAGCAGTCAGTTGCTTTATGACTTTCTTAAATGTATCATATATGAAAAGGCATTGTAAGAAATTGATTTTTTTTTTCGTTTTTCAAAATTAGGTGAGCAAAAAAATCTCTGGTTGAGATTAGTTTGACATAAAATCCAATCAAGATAATGCTACCATGAGTTCATCAACTGAACTTGGCTGAACTGATCTGAACTGATGTACAGTACATTACTGGTATCTTCTGAGAATTAATGTCTTAACCATACAACCCATAATACCATCTTGAACTGTACCTGGAATTTAATAGGTAGATGATGCAGCTTACAATGCAGTCATGGCACAATGCATCCTTGGAAGTTTGGGGTTTTTCCTTTCAAAGCATTGTTAAGAATAACTAACTACACCTATCAAGGTTAGAGGAGGTCAAAAAGGCATGCTCTGATCTGACAGCTATGGTCATAAGTATTGTGCAAAATGCATGTGAAATAGATGAATTTCACAGTGAACCACTTGAAACTTCACAGATGATCACTGACCTTATTGAATTCCTCATATATATGTAGCTCACTAATACTGCTAATAGTGCTTGATACAATTTTTCTTTCACTCCTTCTTTTGAATTGCACTAATTATTTTTTTATGTTAAACTGGAAACTAAATGTGATATGCCAAAACTTTCTGTGAGTGAATTGTATATATAGGTCTGCGTGTTTGTATGTTTGTTCATATATATATACAGGCATATGTGTATATAAATATGAAAACTCACACATATGAAATGTTTTATAGACGAAAATGTATTATAGACGAAAATGTATAAATAAATAAATAAATGCCTAATAGATTAAAGTCAAAGGAAAATCCAGAAGAGAAAATGCTCTGAGACATCAGATGCCTGAATGATCTGTTTCTTCCCTCCATTTGATAGTTTTACTGCAGCATGGAAAATGAAAGGTAAAAGGCTAGGTTTTAACTTTTCTTTTAAGAAAATGTAGCCTCCAGTTTCTATGTTCCAAGATACCACTGAAGGACTGTAAGAAAAGTGTTAATTCTATATTTTTATATCTTTTCCTCTACTGCTTGAGGAGCCTTATATGATGCTCACGTGAGGAAATATTGCTTAGCCTGATGATTACTGCATTTTTACTTGAGGAAGAAGCACCTTGTGGTCCTTCTTCCACTAATTGCAGTTAACATATTTTTTCCATAGCTTTTTGATGTATCTTAAATTAAAACACTTGAATTGGTGAACAAAATTAAGGTTCTTTGTGGTATGAGAGAAAGAATGAGGGGGTCTGTACCAGAAGAGGA